AGTGAGACCCCTTGTAACTCTTTTGCTCCAAGAATGCTGGCAGTCAGGCTTCTAGTTTTGAGACAGGAGATTTTTCTCTTGAGAAATGGATCAGGCAGTGGGGCAAAATTATGTACATAAAGAGCTTCTAGTCATTTTTTTTAGTATTTTGCTTTTAAATAGGAGCAGGTACTTAATTTAAATCGGATCAAATATTTAAGGCAAACCTCTAAGATGCAAGATAGAGAACAAAACAAAAAGAGAAAAAGGGCCTTGGAAAAAAACAAGGCAGATGGAGAAAAATTTTAAAAACAAAACAAAAACGGGTGCCTGGGTGGCTCAGTTGGTTGAGCATCCCACATCGGCTCAGGTCATGATCTCACGGTTTGTGTGAGCCCCATGCCCGGCTGTCTGCTGTCAGCTGTCAGCTCAGATCCTGCTTCAGATCCTCTGTACCCATCTCTCTCTGCCCTCCCCCGCTCATGCTCTCCTTCTCTCTCTCAAAAATAAACATTTAGGGGCACCTGGGTGGCTCTGTCAGTTGAGCATCTGACTTCAGGTCGGGTCATGATCTCGGGGTTCATGAGTTTGAGCCCCACATGGGCTCTCAGCTGTCAGTGCAGAGCCTGCTTCAGATCCTCTCTGCCTCTCCCCTGCTTGTGCTCTCCCTATCTCTTTCAAAAATAAATAAATATTAAAAATAATAATAATAAATAAATAATATATAAACATTAAAAAAAACTGATAAAGATTTAGACCTTCAGAGAGATGACAAGCTACTGCATCCATAAAATAAAAACAGGAGGCCATAAAAACGAATAGTCACAGAACAGAAAATTTCTTTGAAATTGAAAATACAGCAAACCAACAGAATAAGAGAAAATACTCACAAATCATACATCTGATAAGAGTCTGATGTCCAGGATATGTAAATTCTGTAACAAAACAATTCAAAACTGGGCAAAGTATGGAAACAGACCTGCCATCTCCAAAGAAATTGTACAGATGGCCGTAATCATATGAAGAATGTTCAATATCATTAATCATTAGGAGAATGCAAATCAAACCTGCATTGAGATACCACTTCTTTTTAGGATGGCTGTTATAAAAAACAAACAAACAACAACCAGCAAGTGTTGTTGAGGATGTGGAGAAATTGGCGCCCTTATACATTGATGGTGGGAATGTAAAATGGTACCGCCATTATGGCAAAACAGTTTGGCAATTCCTTACAAAGGTAATCATTGAATTACCATGTGATCCATTAGTTCCACTCCTGGTGTATACCCAAAGAACTGGAAGCAGGGACTCCTGCACATAATTGTATACCAATATCCGGAACAGCATTATTCACAAGAGGCAAAAGGCAGATTCAACCCAAGTGTCCATTAACAACGGATGAATGTGGTACATATACATATAATAGAGTGTTATTCCCCCATAAAATGTAATGAAATGGTGATAACGACATGCTACAACACGGATGAACCTTGAAAACATTATGCTAGGGGCGCCTGGGTGGCTCAGTCGGTTAAGCGCCCGACTTCAGCTCAGGTCATGATCTCGCGGTCCGTGAGTTCAAGCCCCGCGTCGGGCTCTGTGCTGACCGCTCAGGGCCTGGAGCCTGTTTCGGATTCTGTGTCTCCCTCTCTCTCTGACCCTCCCCCACTCATGCTCTGTCTCTCTCTGTCTCAAAAATAAATAAACGTTAAAAAAATTAAAAAAAAAAAAAAGAAAACATTATGCTAACTGAAATAGGCCAGACATGAAAGGACAAATAGTGTATGATTCCACTTACATAAGGTACCTAGAGTAGCAAATTCTTAGAGACAAAGTAGTATAGAGGTTACCAGGGTCTGGTGGGGATGAGAAATGTGCTTAATGGTTACAGAGTTTCTGTTTGAAATGAAAAGTTTTGTAAATAGGAAGTGGTTCTGACTGCACAACATTGTGAATGTAATTAATGCCACTGAAATACGTGCTTAAGAATGGTCAAAAAATGGCAAATTTTATGTGGTATATTATCACACTTTTTTAAATTAGTAACCTACCAAGAAACTGAATTACACACTTGAAGTAGGGGAATTGTATGTATATGTTGTGTAAATTATATCTCAATGAAACTTTTTTTTTTTAAGTTTATTTACTTTTGAGAGAGACAGAGACAGCACAAGTGGTGAAGGGGCAGAGAGAAAGAATCCCAAGCAGACTCCACACTGCCAGCACAGAGCCTGATATGGAGCTCAAACTCACGAAGAAGCCCTGAGATCATGACCTGAACTGAAACCAAGAGTCGGATGCTTAACTGACTGAGCCACAGGCGCCCTCAATGAAACTGTTTTTAAAAAATGATAGCAGAGGGGCGCCTGGGTGGCTCAGTTGGTTGAGCATCTGGCTCTTGAGTTCAGTTCATGTCATGATCTCATGGTTCTTGGGTTCGAGCCCCACATCAGACTCTGTACTGACAGTGCAGAGCCTGTTTTGGATGCTCTCTCTCTCCCTCTCTTTGTCCCTCCCCTGCTTGCATTCTCTCTTTCTCTCTCTCTCTCTCAAAAATAAATAAACTTAAAAAAAACTTTTTTAAATAAGGTCCCCTTTAAATAAAAACAATAGAGTGGGGTGAGGCGATAAGAGTGAGGGTGTTTAAGGGTACAACCTTGTAAGGAGTGGTAAATAGCCATGGAGAGCTAATGCACAGTAAAGTGAATATAGCCAATAGTACTGTACTATGATTAAGTAATGTGGTAAATGTCACTGTAGTGGCAACAATATATAAGTGTATTGAAGTAACTGGTTGTACAGCTTAAATTTACGCATTGATATATGTCAAATTGATTCGTTTAAAAATTTTTTTAATGAGGAGCCCCCCAGGTGGTTCAGTCAGTTGAACGTCTGACTTCGGCTCAGGTGATGATCTTGCAGTTCGTGAGTTCCAGCCCCACATCAGGCTCACTGCTGTCAGCACAGAGCCTGCTTCAGGTCCTCTGTCCCCCTCACTGCCCCTCACCTGCTTGCACTCTCCTAAAAATAAAGAAATACGTACATACATAAATATATATATATTTTTAATGATAGCAGAAAGGAATCATTTAGAGAAGGATTAGAAGATGAAGTGGAAGAAATCTCAAGAGGTAGTAGAACAACAACAAATGAACAAAGAAGGAGAAAGATAACCAAAGATCAGCCCAGGAGGCCAGAATCCAAGTAATTGCAGACATAGTTCTGCTAAGCTTTCTGCCACTGTGTAACAAGGACCCCCTTTCCAGTAACATTTTCATTTCCACCTGAGCCTTCTACTGCCAAGTCTTTAATGTCCGTTTCTCTACCATAGTCTATGCAAGGCAACTGAGGCCTTTGCTCTGCTCAAAATTCTCCCAGTTTCTGTTACTGCCCAATTCCAAAGTCGCTTCATATTTTTTAGTTATTTGTTGCAATAACACCCTGCTGGCGGGTATCAAAATCTCATCTAAATATTATCAGCTTTATGAGCTCAAAAGCCTCCAATCTTATTATTTAAATCATTTAAGGGGCGCCTGGGTGGCTTGGTCAGTTAAGCATCCAACTTCGGCTCGGGTCATGATCTCACGGTCCGTGAGTTTGAGCCCCACATCGGGCTCTGTGCTGACAGCTCAGAGCCTGGAGCCTGTTTCAGATTCTGTGTCTCCCTCTCTCTCTGCCCCTCCCCTGTTCATGCTCTGTCTCTCTCTGTCTCAAAAATAAATAAATGTTAAAAAAAAATTTTTTTTAATTAAATCATTTAAGTTGGTGTATATAGGTGAGGCTCTGGGTGTGACCCATCCTGGGACACAGTTCCTCTCCCTCTGTAGACCTATGAAACCAAAAACAAGTCCTTTGCTCCTACAATACATTGATGGGACATGCGTAGATTAATAATTAAGAGACATTCCCATTGAGAAAGGGAGAAATGGAAGGGAAAGGGCCTTCAATTCCAAGCAATCTTGAAATCCAGCAAGGCAGAACCATTAAGTTTCAAGGCCTAGAAATAGTCCTTTATGGCTCAGGACTCTGCCCTCTAAATCATTCTTTTTCATATTTTCAGCTGAGTTGTTTTATCATCCTGTTTCCTGTCTCTAGAATTTGGAGGTTTTGTACTCTCTCTGTCCTTTTCCATACAGTTGACCATGCTCTTGTTGGTGTATAATCTCAAGTACCTTGTGAATTTCTTGTATATGTTACAGGGATTCATTTGACTAATCGAATACTAGATAACATTTTCCACCAATATTGGCAAAACTTTTAAAAAATTAGAAATGTTGGAGCGTGAGAATGGAGAAACAGACCCTGTAGCCACACAGTGAGGGACTTAAATTGGTACAGAATTTGGGGGGTTGGTTTGGAATAGGCATTTTAAAAACATTTAAAATGCTTCTTTCTAGCTGTCCTATTTATAGAAAATTACCATAAAGAAGTAATCAAAGATGTGGGCACAGTTTTATCTTAAAAAACAAAAACCCTGTGGTATTTGTAAATGATGGCTTGTATGGGAGCCATTAAAAAGTATTATTTAACAAAAATAAGTCCTATTGAAAAGCATTAATCTCAGGGGAACTGCACAGTTCTGTCTTTAGTGTAGACATGTATAGTTCACATTATATTGCATAATATGCATGTTCGTATTTTCTCAGTTCTAAGATTCCATTAATTGTGACATAACCATATATTAACTTAGGGAAAATTTTTTCAGAGGCATTAAGATAAAGAGGAAGTACATATGAGATTATTTCCAGGATTACATGATTTACAGGTTACCTGTTTTCTTCTTTATACCTTTCATTATTATCCAGAATGACTGTCTTGAGCGTTTATTATTAAGGTGGTTATTTTTATTCTGTAGATCCTTTATTTATGGATTTACTTAAATTAATGACGGTTATAATTCAAAAAGGCACTAGACCGTGAAGGTCTAGAAAAGAATGAAATGTAGTAGTATGTGTTGTTTGAATCCTATCTCTGATTCCAACATGCTTTGAATGGGAACCTTTTTTTCTTTTTCACCTAAGAAGCTGAAAAGAGTGAAGACTCCTCAGGCACTGCAGGCCTCTCAGGCTTACACCGCACATACAGTCAGGACTGCAGCTTTAAGAACAGCATGTACCATGTTGGAGATTACGTCTACGTGGAGCCCGCGGAGGCCAGCCTGCAGCCACACATAGTCTGTATTGAGAGACTGTGGGAAGATTCTGCTGGTAAGTTCGTTTTAAATCAAAGGACAGATTGGTGACATGTAACTATTTTACTCCTCCTTGGGTCTCAAGGAAGAAAACTGTCACTCAGACAATAGTCGTTCTATAGTGTATCAGTAAATATAAGTAAGCACCCACTATATGAAAACATGGGATCTAGCACTCTTGGGCCAGTGAGTGGTACAATTGAGTCAAAAGAAATGCATCTTCTTGAAGGGAAGCTGAGATTCATTTGCTCCACTGGTGTTTATTAAAACCAGTCACCCAAACTCTGGAGGATGGCAGAGACTCACAGGAACTAAAGGCTCACGTTTTGCTTCTGGCAAAACCAGTCTGGTATAAATCACAAGTGAAGAATAAATTATAGAGAGACATGTGCCTTGGCTTAGAATTTGATTTAAAAAAGGTGTCCTAGAACAGTTGCCTTTACCTTAGGAGTTAATGAAGCCAGAAGCAGGCAGAAATGTGATCCAGGCAATCCAGTTCCCTCAGCTTTGCATCCCTTGCCCTGAGTGCTAACTGCGTCCTTTAGTATGCGGTATCTTTCTTAAGCATGCATCCCTGGCCGTGTCCTGGCCCCAGCAGAGTGGAGCAGCTCTCATCACCCTCCTCATCTGGTATATTACCTATCTTTTCATGTGAGAGGGAGAGTAGAATTTTTTAGGCCTTCTTATACTTCATTATTTTCAAGTATCATTTCTTCTAAGATAATTATTTTAAGGACCTGTGGCTTAAAAAGCACATCGTTGGGTTCGGGCCATAAGAGAATAGATGGAGAATTTGCTCGTTTTGCAAAGAATGTGTGATTTCTGTTAATGGTAATTCTGTCTGTCTCTGTCTCTCTCTCTCTCTCTCTCCCTCCCTCCCTCCCTCCTTTTTTGTTTTTGAGGTGAAAAATGGTTGTATGGCTGTTGGTTTTATCGGCCAAATGAAACATTCCATCTGGCTACGCGAAAATTTCTAGAAAAAGAAGTTTTTAAGAGTGACTATTACAATAAAGTTCCTGTTAGTAAAATTCTAGGAAAATGTGTGGTCATGTTTGTCAAGGTAAGAAACTCATTAGTTCCCAAAGTACAAATCATTCCATGAAAATAAAATTTACGAACACAGAAAAATCAGTATTTACAAATTAGAAGCTCTGTTTTAAACCGTTTGATTTTTTTTTTTAAACTGTATCTGTATGGCTGTGTGTAAAAGATTTGGGAAGAAATTAATCTGATCATGATGATGGAAGACCATTTGCTGCCTACATCATATATAGTTGAATGCAGTTAGCTTAAAGTTTTTTTTATACTGCGAGGTTAATTTTTGAGGATGACATTTTCTGAAAGATAATTTTCTGAAAACTGTCAGTATGCTCTTTTAGGTAATAAAGTATACTTTTTGTGTATCTATCTGATACAGGCACATTGACCCCTGCCCCAAAGCTTTCAAGAACGTTATAGCTGTATTATGAAATGTTAATATATTTTCAAAAGGGCTGTTGGTAAGCTAAATAAGCTAAAGGGTGTGGGGGCACCTGGGTGGCTCAGTCGGTCGAGCGTCCGACTTCGGCTCAGGTCATGATCTCACGGTCTGTGAGTTCGAGCTCCACATCAGGCTCTGTGCTGACAGCTCAGAGCCTGGAGCCTGCTTTGGATTCTGTGTCTCCCTCTTTCTCTGCCCCTCCCCCACTCATGCTCTGTCTCTCTCTGTCAAAAATAAAATAAACATTACAAAAAAGTTTTTTTAAATAAGCTAAAGGGTGTGTATTTAATAAGGCTATTTTGTAGCAAGAAATTGCTCCTACATCTCTAGCCATTTACTATTTGTGGTTAACTGTCAAAAAGTCTTAACAGTTTAGCTTTTGTTTGTTTGCTTGATTGATGTGTGGTTTTGGTTTTTATGGTTGACTGGTTTTCAGAATATTCACCTAACTTATTAATTTTATTATATCTCACAGGAATACTTTAAATTATGCCCAGAAAACTTTCGAGATGAGGATGTTTTTGTCTGTGAATCACGGTATTCTGCCAAAACCAAATCTTTTAAGAAAATTAAACTGTGGACCATGCCCATCAGTTCAGTGAGGTTTGTCCCTCGGGATGTGCCCTTGCCTGTGGTTCGAGTGGCCTCTGTATTTGCAAATGCAGATAAAGGGGATGATGAGAAGAACACAGACAACTCAGAGGATAGTCGAACTGAAGACAGTTTTAACTTGGAGAAGGTATGTAGCTAAAAGCCACACAGAAAAGAATTTTACACTTCAAAATACCTATTCCAGAAAATAAATGAATAAAACATTCAAAATCAGAATTAGAAAAAGAGCAACAACTTAAAACCTTACATAAACAGAAAGAAGGGAACTATAAAAGAGACAGAAATTAATACTTAGAAAACAACAGAACTGAAAAGTAAATCCAGGGGCACCTACTGGTTCAGTGAGTAGAGCATGAGACTCTTGATCTCAGGGTCATTAGTTTAAGTCCCCCGTTGGGCATGCAGCCTACTTTAAAAAAAATTAAATAGGAGCGCCTGGGTGGCTCAGTCGATTGACTTGATTTCAGCTCATGTCGTGGTCTCAGGGTCATGGGATTGAACCCCGTGTCAGGCTCCACACTAAGCACGGAGCCTGCTTGAGATTCGGTTTCTCCTCCTTTTCCCCTCTCTCTTGCTGGCTTACGTGCATGCATGCGCTCACGTCCTCTCTCCCTCTCCCTCCCTCTCTCAAATAATAAAGAAGTGAGTCCAAGTGCTAATCATTTGACAAGTCCAGTGAAATAAATGACCAACTCTCCTAATAAAAAAAGAAGAGAATTAAGCCCAGACATATAAATGTAGAAGAAATTTAAAGACTTGTAAATTTTGTTAATAAATTGAAATCCTGAATAAAATGAATAATTTCCTAGGACAATATAAATCACTAAAGTGGCATCAAGAAGAGGTGTAACACGTAAGTGGACAACAACAAGAAGAAATTTTTTTTAATGTCTTGAGAGCTAATCACAGAGTACTCAGATCAGATAATTCTGTAGGTGAGTTCTTTTAACCCTTTAAGAGACCTATAATTATACTATGGTTTAAATTCTTTCAGAGCATAGAAAACAAAACTTCCCAGTTATTTTACATAACCAGAATAATCTTGATTTCAAAGCCTGACAAAATAAAACTGGAAAAGCTATAGTTCAGTCTGACTTACGAATATTAATGCAAAAAATACTTGGAGAAAATGTATTTTTATAAATGAAATCAAATTAGTTATTTAAGAACAATATGACCAAGTAGGTGGAAGTTCATTCTACAAATGCAAGGATTGGTCAAAATTAGGAAAATTCAGTAAAACATTTCATTGCATTAATAGATCTAAGGAGAAATTATTTGATAAAGTACAGTAACTGTCTTCATTTATTTAAGTCTTTAGATGGGTATTTCCTCAAAGTGATTTTTTAAAATTATATTTCTCACACCTAAACGTGCTTGCTCTACTATTATCTTTATTTTTCTGAAAGTAGCCAATGAAGACAAACAAAATAGTAAAAATATTGACAATAAAGAGGCAAAACTTTTTTTTGCAGATAATGGGGGAGAAATTAAAGTTTTGAAAACCAAGAATTCAACAGATAGGAATTTCAAAGTCCATATACAAGTCAATAGCTTTCTTATATAAACAAAACAGTAATTCACAAGACTTTTGAAAGTAAGATAAAAATGTTGAATACACTTTAGCAGCTGTTAGGAAAGTCATGTAGAAGAAAATATCTGATTCATCTTAACAACAAGATACATTAAGAAATAATCTTGGGGGCGCTGCTGGGTGGCTCAGTTGGGTAAGTGTCTGACTCTTGATTTCGGCTCGGGTCATGATCTCACGGTTTGTGAGTTCAAGCCCCATATCAGGCTCTGTGCTGACAGCGGGAAGCCTGCTTGGGATTCTCTCTCTGCCCCTCCCCACTCCACTCTGTCTCTCTGTCTCTCTCTCTCTAAACAAACAAACAACAACAAAAAAGAAATAACCTTAAAAGGAATATATGGAACCTATGGGAAGAGAAACAGTCTATGGACATGAAAGACTTGTTTTTGGAACCTGACAGAATTATGCTGGCATTCTTAATGAAGGGGTAAACATGTTAGTTACCAGGAAAAGAAGGGAGAAAAGTAATCAAAGTGCTTTGCCCTGCTAAATATTATTGTATTTTATAAAACAACATTTTTAAAAAATTGGGATAGTAGCTCAGGACCAGTCAGTGGAAGGAATAGGCTTTTCACAACTAAAATCTAGAATATAAAGGTAGGATTTTAAATCAGCAAGAGAGGATGGAATCAAATGATACTGGAAAAACTGGTAGCCATTTGAAAATAAAAGAAAAAGAAGAAGAAAGGAAAAAACCCACCTGAATTCTCTCTTGATATTCCAAAAAGATAAAAAAACAAAAAAAAACAGAGTACTAGTTGCTAACATAAGCATATTTACTATTATTTACCTATATTCTTTTATGTATGTATGTATGTATTTATAAGCTTGGAATGGGTCCATTCTATACATGATATAAAATCCAGTATCCATAAAAGGGGGGGGGCATTTTATCAGTGTACAATGGAAAATATCCATTAGTTTAATAAAAGAGTCTAAGGACTGCCATTTTTAACACAATGAGCTCTTGGAAACCTAGGAAAAAAGCTACACTAGAAAAATAGGCAAAGGACCAAATAGATGATTTGTAAGAGAGAAGACAGCCAAAAAGGTAAAATGTTTTTAAATGCCTGGCAGATTGGCAGGAGTTCTAAAGACTGCTAATACTGGGCACACCCGATGTGGGTGTGGGCAGCACACTTCTCTCCCATCCATGGCATTCCCTTTGACCCTACAGTTTGATGCCAGGGAACGTGTTCCAACTCAGTACTCAGGCGCACCAAAGGGTTGTCTACAAGGAGTGACATCAGTGTTACCTGTAAAGCAAAACCCTTGGCCAAACTCAAATGCCATGAATAGGAATTGAGTAAGTTGTCATACATCCATAGCATGCCAGCTGTACGGCCAGTGAAAGCAGTGAAGTAGGTTTATAATATGTCACGTGGAAAATTTTCCAAGTCCTGTAGTAGGAGGATGTTCATGATTAACAGGCAGCAGAATGGGATGCAGTTCCATCATTATTCAAAACAAAGAAAAATGTATATTTACATACATGAATGAGAAAATGAAAACAGCATGTAACACTGCTGTGTGCTAAACTAGGTGCTTATCTCTGGAGTTGGATCACAGAAGATTGTTTTTAAGTTTTACATGCTGTAATGTTGACTTGTTGCCAATGAATGTACTTCTTTTATATAATCAAGAAAGATAAAACTTTTATATTGTTAACATAAAAACTGGAAAATATTGAATTCTTTGAGTCCATTTCAGTGTCCTAACAGTTTTACAAGAGAAAGGGAGCCTGGGAAGGAACATGATATTTTTTACACTTTACCAGTATGTCTGGGAATTGTGGAGACGTTAATTATGAAAGAATAAGAAATACCAAAGGAAGCCAGTGTGGGAATAACATAGATTTCTTCTTTTTCTTTTTCTTTTTTTTAAAATTAATTAATTAATTTTTAAATTTACGTCCAAGTTAGCAATTTTTTCTTAGAATTCATAAGGCCCCAGGGTCCTCTCTGTGCACACATTTTTTTTTTTTTTTTTTTTTTTTTTTTTTTTCCCTGTTCTTGTCTCCTATCTATTTTAATGCTACCTGGCCAAAACAGGTCATTCCTGGAACTTTTTAAAAGAATACCTTCAGCAGGTAGAGCATGCAGCTCTCAGTCTTGGGATTGTGAGGTCAAGCCCCACATTGGGCGGGAAGATGACTTTACAAAAAAAAAAAGAAAAGAACTTCAGAACAGACCATTCCTGAAAGAAAAAGTTATTCTTACTCTCAGGGGTCACTTTATAGCTCCCTTTCCTGCAGGTGTCCCTCATCCAGCACATCTCATTCTTAAGGGTTTTCCAGGAGGAGCATTTAGATTGCACATTTATAGTCGTGAAGAAAGAAGCAAACCGTTTGGACCTTCTGAAAGAGAGATTTTTGTTTGAAGTTTCAGATACTCTCGGGGAGGTGCAGTAGAAAACTTGGGGGTTCTGGGGTTTCCTCGAGGAGCTTTTATATGTTTTGAAATTAATATGTTTACAACACCTCGTGCTGTGCCCACTATCTGCATCAGATCAGAACTTGTTTTTCTTTTTTTCCCCTTTTCTGCCAACACTATAAAACAATAATAATGTTTGTTAAAGCGCTTTTCATAAGTCAGGCATTGCTCTGTGTAGTTAATGGGGGGAATATCCTTAAAGCTTCCTAACAATCCCATGTAATAGGCACACTGTCTTCATTTTCCAGATGAGGAAACTAAGGCCTAAGAGGTCAAGTAATTTGCCTAATGTCACAGTAGCCAATAGGTGACAGACCTTGTAATTTATTAAAAAATTGAGAGTATGTGTTTGTATCACAGAGGCTATACTATTCCTTTCCATGCTAGAATAAAGCAAAATGATCATTTTAAATCTATCAGCTGTTAATGCTAAGACATTGAGAGCTCAGTAAATGTGATGAAGAGGAAGCTTATGCAGTATTTGCTCCTTATCCTCCATGGCAACGCATGAGTGAGGCTGCTCCTGAATGCTGCTAAGTCCTCTCCGGTGCTCTTTTTGTATTGGACTAGGGGAATAAAAGCATCTTGGAGTAACATTTTGTGAAACTTAACTAGAAATTTAAAATAAATGCATTATTTGAGAAGACTTAGTTTGGTTTCAGTGTCCTAATCTTTTGGTTTCTGGTCTTCATCAAAACTTCTATTTATGGTTATTTTTGTCTTCTAAGTTAATATGATGGAAAGTCAACTTTCCTTTCTTACCTTCTCTGTCTACTCCTTGATTGTGAGCTGCCTCTCCTCAACCAGTTTCCTTTACCACAGGAGAAAGAAGATGTCCCTGTGGAAATGTCAAACGGTGAGCCAGGTTGCCACTACTTTGAGCAGCTCCGTTACAATGACATGTGGCTGAAGGTTGGTGACTGTGTCTTCATCAAGTCCCATGGCCTGGTGCGCCCACGTGTGGGCAGGTGAGTGTTACTGAAGCAGCGAAGATGTAGTTGGGTCGGAGAGATTTGGAGCAAGTGGAAATTCATCACTCTTTAGGATGAAGACACACGTCATCATCAACCCCCCGCCCCCAACACCCTGCAATCCTGTTAACTTCCCCAGCTTCCTTGCACACCCTTGCCCTGCTTTCGTCTCTAGCCATGCTTCTTTAAATTCCTCTTGTGAACTTTTTTTTTCTTCTCTTACCATTTACTCACTTCTCAACCCAGAAATCTCCCTGCCCACCTCACATGATGAACTCCCTTTAGCTTCAATTTAAGATGACACTTCCTTAAGGAAGCTTCTCCTGTACCCTCCAGACTGGATTAGGTGTCCTTGTATTCTCAGAGCACTTGTCATGTTATTTTACTGTCAGGTTTCCATACCAGACTGCAAATGCCCTGACAGTAGGGTCCCTGTCTTTTTGCTCACCTTTGTCTTCCCTGCTTCAAGCATACAGTTCATGAAACATAGTAAGGGCTCAGATATTGGTTGAACAAGTAAATGGATGGAAGAGTGTTTGCATGGCATAAAATAGCAGTGACGGAGTCAGGTACAGAATTGGGCAGTAGAGGATAGTGGTTAAGAGTAGTAGTTGGTTCCAAGAGATCGTGGTGTAAGTCCAGCCCTGCTAGCTTCATGTCCTTAGGCAAATAATTTACTTCCCTGAGCTTCAGTTTCCTCATTCCATTTTTTCCTCATTCAGTAATCGTTTATTACAAACCTATTTGCCAGGCTCTGAAGCTACATTAGTGAATAAAACAAACATTCTTAGTGCCCGGGATCTTTGTTCCAGTGGGAAGACAAACAGTAATCATGAATAAGTAAAGTGTAAGGTACATTAGGTCATGAAAAAATAAGAGTATGAGAACACTCAGGAATGCCGTGGTCACAGTGAGGAGGTGCAAAAGTTTAAGCAGGGTGATGTATATAGGCCTCACTGAGAGTTAATAGTTGAGTCAACGAAGAAACTGAGTGAGTAATGTGAATATCCGGGGGGAAAGCTTTCCGGGAAGTGAGAATAGCCAAGATAAAGACCTGAGAGCAAAGTGTTCCTGGCCTGTCAAATCAGGAGAGTTTGTTACAGGGGGAGTAAGCAGTGCATTGAGTTAGATAGGAGATGAGGGCCATGGCATACAGTGCAACCCTTGTGGACCTCAGAGACCAATGTAGGCACTTGGGCTTTTACTGAATTAAAAAGAGTACCATTGGATTCTTTTAAGCATCAGTGTGACAGCTGAATTAGTTCTTAGCAAGATTGCTCTGCCTACTGGTTGTTGAGAATAGACTTAAAGGATCAAAGAGAAGCAAGGAGATCTGCTAGAAGGCTGGCTGTTGCAGTAATCCAGGCAGCAAATGATGATGGCTCAGACCAGTAGTCAGACCCTGTTTTAAAAGGTTGAGTTAATAGGATTTCTGATAAATGGGATGTGGGGTCTGAGAGAGAGAAAGGAGTCAAGGATGACTTCTGTCTCTTGTCTTGAAGAACTGGAAGGTGGAGTTACCAGTAACTGAGATGAGGATACTGCTTCTTGTTAGGAACCACAAGACATTGGAGACCATAATACCAAGCTGCTGGGGTGGTTGTGAGGAATGATACAGTACCTGGCACATAGCAGTCACATGTGAATTTTTATTTTTTTTCTAGGGAGATAGTATCTGGCTTTGGTCAGATTCTCAAGGGGTGAAGGGCTCTTATATCTTGGCACTCAAAAGTCATGAACCAACCATTGCCTTACAGGAATATCTGCCATTCATGTGAGCTGACCCCAAATATCGATGGTTTGCGTGTGTATTTGGCTGACAAGTCCAATGACAGATGCTTAGTTTTGTTTCACCATGAGCATCTCAGGGAAAACACCTGGGAGATATGCCTTAGTATTGTGTTAAAATTGTTTTCCCCTTAGATAAGTAGCCAAATGTTTGTTTCTCTTTCTGAGTATCTTCTCCTGTGCTCAAAAAGGACGAAACATCAAGGAAATTGTCTTTTTATCAAAATAGTCAGTGAAACTTCTCTAAAATAGTAAATATCATCGAGGCGCCTGGGTGGCTCAGTGGGTTAAGCATCCCACTCTTGATTTCAGCTCAGGTCATGATCTCACAGTCGTGAGATGGACCCCATGTCAGGCTCCGTATTGGGTGTGGAGCCTGCTTAAGATTCTCTCTCCCTCTTCCCCTGCCCCTCCCTGACTCACGCTCATTCTCTCTCAAATTTTTATTTTTTTTAAATAGTAAATATCATTAGGTTTTTGGCTAGCAGAATTTTTGGTAGATTAATCCTTCCAGAATGAAACCTGTCAATTCATTTTAATGGAATTTCTCCATTTTTCCCCCAAGAATTGAAAAGGTATGGGTCCGAGATGGAGCTGCATATTTTTATGGCCCTATCTTCATTCACCCAGAAGAGACAGAACATGAGCCCACAAAAATGTTCTACAAAAAAGAAGTGTTTCTGAGTAATCTGGAAGAAACCTGCCCCATGACATGTATTCTGGGTACGTATTTCTGCCTTTTCATTTAATCACATTGATTCTGCTACAGTTGACTGAATACTCCTCCTGTGTTAGGCACTGGTCTAGGTGCTAGGTATACAGCAGTAAACAGACCAGAGTCAGTAAGTAAATTAAAATTAAATCTCTAGAACATCAGGTAGTAATTAGAGCTCTGAATGAGAATAAGGCAGAGGAAGAGGATAGAGCAAAATGTTGAGGGGAGGTCTTGTAGGTAATGTGGTCACCAAAAGCATTTCTGATGGGTGACGTGAATAGAGCCCTGAAGGCAGTCAGGGAGAAAACCACCCAAATACAGGCATGCTTCGTTTTAGTGCGCTTTGCTTTATTGCCCTTCCCAGATGCTAGGTTTGTTACAGATTGAAGGTTTGCAGCAACCCTGTGTGGAGCAAGTCTGTTGGCGCCATTTTCCCAGCAGCATTTGCTCATTTCATGTTCCTGTGTCACATTTTGGTAACTCTCACAATATTTCAAACTTGATTGCTATTATATTTGAGATGCTGCAATCTTATGATAAAACTTTAATGGACGAGGAATTGCTTGTTATGGAGGAGCAAAGAATGTGGTTTCTTGAGGCAAAATCTCCTGGTGAAGATGCTGTGAAGGTTGTTGAAATGACAACAAAGGATTGTGAATATCACATAAACTTAGTTGATAATGCATCAGCAGGATTTGAGAGGATTAACTCCCAATTTTGAAAGAAGTTTGTGGGTCAAACGCTGTCAAATAACATCACGTGCTACTGAGAAATCATTTGTGAAAGGAAGAGTCCGCTGATGTTGCAAACTTCACTGTTGTCATATTTTAAGAAATTGCCACCGCTACCCCAGCCTTTAGCAAACACCATCCTGAGCAATCAGCAACCATCAACATTAAGGCAAGACCCTCTATCCCCAAAAAGATGGGGACACCTGGCTGGCTCAGTCAGTAGAGCATGTGATTTTTGATCTCGGGGTCATGAGTTTGAGCCCCATGTTGGGCGTAGAGTTTACTTAAAAAAAAAAAAAAAAGATTACAACTCACTGAAAGCTCAGATGATGGTTAGCATTTTGTGGCAATAAAGTGGTTTTTAATTACAGTATATATATTGTTTTTTTAGACTCAATGCTATTGCACACCTAATAGACTACAGTATAATGTAAACATTACTTTTAATGGAAACCAGAAAATCATTTCAATCACTTTATTATGATATTTGCTTTATTGAGGTGATCTGGAGCTGAACCTGCAATATCTCTGAAGTGTGCCTGTGTCTGAGATTTTACTCATTTTAGGCACAGCAAACATGAAATGCAAAGCCCTTAAGGCAAAGTAGCTGGGTATGGTTGAGATAACAGTAAGAAAGCCAGGTGGCTGGGGCAGACCAGGAGGGTGTGGTAGAGAATGAGCCCCCTGAGGTGCCTGGGTGCACACTCACAGTAGGTCTACTAGACAGTGCTCAGATGGAATTTGGAGCAGATGGGAAGTCCTGTCTGGGTGTGAGCAGAGCAGCTATGTGGGCCAGCATATGCACTGGAGGAGTCCCTGCAGCTGCAGGATGGGGAATGTGTAAGAATAAGGTAGGATTCGGGGGAAGGAGTTGAAAGGCTTCTAGTCTCTTGGACTCTTAACCCTAGCAATGTTACTCTCCCTGATCCAGAAGTGTGCAGGGCTCGTGCTGAGGTTTCCGTTCAGTCATCCTGAGTGTTCACACACACTCTGCTGCTCAAACGTAGTTCTGTGCATCATATACTGTCATTATTTTCAGCTATTGCATTTCTTCCGGCCCAGAGTTAACACTACAGCTTACTTACAAACCAGCTACTCTCCATCTTTTGGAATAGTTTTCCAAATGATGTCAGTGAAAATAGTGAAGTAGGAAGATTTGAGGGCCATTCCCTCACAGAAACATGGAGAAAAGCCCACAAAAGCTGTCAGAATCGACATTATTAGAACTCTGGAAAACAGCCAAACATCATTTGGAGTAATTCCTTTTTATAGACGCTTAGTAGAATTTGTTGCACTCTGTAGTTTATAAACCACATATCCAGGCTCTCACTTATTTCTCACCATGACCCCGTACTAAAGATGCTGTCATTCTCAGAAAATTGAAGTTACTGTCCAATACATGGCCAAAACTAAAACCTGGGTCTTTTCACTTCTACTTCTGTACTGGTGTTTGGAACGCTTTTGAGAGTGAAAAGAGGTGCTAGTATTATTAGGCAGGATACCAGGAAAGCAGTGAGATGTATGGTTACTTCATCTTGAGATGATGCATTCCCCAAAAGGAAATGGATCTAGTGGTCACAAAATGGGATTTCAGCCCGGCTTGTGCATTTTTCATCTTCTGTAATGTAGACCTGATGGGCATATTTCACTCAGGAGACAGTACTGTTTTGCTAACTAATGTTTTTTGTTCATTGCCTTCAGTAACTTAAATAGTAATCAGACAGCCACAGAGAAGTTGCTTTTAGGAATGAACATGGCCACACCTGACAGAAAGTGCCTCCAGCCTAGGCACTTGAATCATAAAATTTCCAGGAACCTGGGTTTCTGAAACATGTCAATTCCTAATTTATTTGCCAGTTCTGTTTTCTTCATAGTAGGTTTTTTTAATGCTGCATTAATTGAAAAACTGTTCTTACTAAGGTAAGAAAATTAAAAGGTTTTTAAAAATTAGAAAGGAAAAATTAAAAGAATTAGGTTTTGCAAAGAGATTATTAGGTACATAGAAAATTGAAAAGGTATTTGGATAAACTATCAGAATTAATAAATGAGAGGTGCCTGGGTGGCTCAGTTGATTAAACATCCGACTCTTGGTTTTGGCTCAGGTCATGATCTCCTTCAGGTTCTCTCTCTCTCCCTTTCTGCCCCTCTCCCACTCATGTGCAGTCTCTCTCTCTCAAACATTTAGAATTAATAAATGAAAATACCAAGATTATCTATACTTTTATTTGTGGTCAATGAACAGAAAGTTGAAGTTTAAAAATACACCACTTATGTTACATACCTAGGAATAAATATTTTAAAAAGTTGTATAAGACTATGGATATAGTCTCCCTCTCTTTCTGCCCCCTCCCATTTGCGCTCTCTCACTCTCAAAAATAAACATTAAAAAAAAGAAAAAATTTAAAAAAAGATGTATAAGACTTCTACACACACACACGCACACACACAACCCTCTGAGGAAATGATTGAATGAAATCAAAAAAGACCTAAATTAATGAAGTGATTCATCATGTGTATAGCTGTAAGTTCAGTATTATAAATTATTTTTATAATGTTTATTTATTTTCGAAAGAGACCAGGCATGAACAGGGAAGGAGCAGAGACGGGGGAGACACAGAATCCAAAGCAGGCTCCAGGCTCCAAGCTTTCAGCACAGAGCCCGACGCAGGGCTTGAACTCACAAACCATGGTATCATGACCTGAGCCGAAGTCAAACGCTTAACCCACTGAGCCACCCTGGGCGCTCCAAAAGTTCAGTATTAAAAGAAGTCATTTTCTCCCATATCGATCTATCTAATTCATTGTAGTTCCAGTCAGAATCCAGCAGGTTTTTATCAGTTTTGTGTGCTTTGTTGAATGAAGCTTCCTGGGGCACCTGGGTGGCTCAGTCGGTTGAGAGTCCGAATTCGGCTCAGGTCATGATCTCGCCGTTCAGTAGTTTGAGCCCCATTGGGCTCTGTGCTGGCAGCTTGGAGCCTGGAGCCTGCTTTGGATTCTGTGTCTCCATGTCTCTCTGTCCCTCCCTTGCTCATTCTCTTTCTCTCTCTCTCTCTCTCTCTCTCTGAAATATAAAACATTTAAAAAAATTTTTTTAATGAAGCTTTCTAAGCTTTTATCTTTTCGATGTCTTCTGAAGGCCTGGGAGGAAGCCCAGGTCAGGGCACAGAGAGACCACATCCATTCCAGGGCTACCAGTCAATTTTACTCTTTAGCTATGAGCACAATTCTTACCTTTTCCAAATCTCTCTTTTTCCTTCTGTGAAATATGGAAAATGGTAACTATGCCTCCTCTGAATTGAAAAGGCTTTGGATTGTGTAAGTCAAGTGCTGTAAGTCAGAGGCAGTGATAATAATTATAGCTATTTTCAGCTTCTAAAATGTTTCTGACCTGTTTTTCCATGTTTTAGGTATTTTGCATGTAAATGTTTAATAAGTTATTAGCTATGAACACTCCTGTTAAAGTCAAGAGCAAAATCAGGGTGTTCTTATCATTGTTATTTAACTGTGTTGTGGAGGTACTAGCCAGCACAGTTAAAAGTAAGAAACAAAATCTACAGTGAGGTGATAATTCAGGAGGATCAACTAGGAATTACTCCATAATAGGAGAAGATGGGGGGTTCACAGGTGGCTCAGTTGGTTAAGCATCTGACTCTTGATTTCTGTTCAGGTCATGATCTCACAGTTGTGAGATCGAGCCCCACATGGGGCTCTGCACTGACAGTCTAGAACCTGCTTGGGATTCTCTCTCTCTCCGTCTCTCTCTGCCCTCCCCTTCACACTCTCTCTTTCAAAATAAATTAACGTTTAGAAGAAGAAAAAATGTGGTGTACCTGGGTGGCTCATTTGGTTAAGTGTCTGACTTCAGCTCAGGTCATGATCTCACAGTCCATGAGTTTGAACCCCGCGTCAGGATCTGTACTGACAGCTCAGAGCCTGGAGCCTGCTTTGGATCTGTGTCTTTCTCCTCCCCTTCCCTGCTCATGCTCTGTCTTTCTCTCTCTCAAAAATAAACATAAAAATATTAAATTAGGGGCACCTGGGCGGCTCAGTTGGTTAGGCGTCCGACTTCAGCTCAGGTCATGATCTCACGGTCTGTGGGTTTGAGCCCTGCCTCCGGCTCTGTGCTGACAGCTCAGAGCCTGGAGCCTGCTTCGGATTCTGTGTCTCCCTCTCTCTCTGCCCCTCCCCAACTCATGCTCCATCTCTCTCTGTCTCAAAAATAAATAAACATTTGAAAAAAAAATAGTTTAAAAAAATTAAAAAGAGAAGGAAGGTAAGTTTGAGTATAACATGGATAACAAAGAAACTGCCTTAAGAGATTGAATAATAATAAAAAGATAAAACACGTTGGGATAAATTTTACAAGATACATGCCACATCTGTATAAAGAAAGTTTTTAAATGCTGCTTTTAATGCATTTAAAAGGGAGTGCTTGAACAAATTGAAAAGCATACCGTGTACTTGAATGAGAAGTCTCAACATCATAGAGATGTTCATTCTCCCTAAGTTAATCTTTAATGTGGTTCCAGTATATGTACCAATGGGAATTTTCTTGTGAGGAATTTGGGACTTAAATAAACTGATGTTTAAAATAATGGGGTGCCTGGGTGGCTCAGTTGGTTAAGCATTGACTCTTGATTTTGGCTCAGGTCAAGCCCTATTTCCGGCTCCACACTGATGGTGCAAAGCATGCTTGGAATTCTTTCTCTCTCTGCCCCACCCCCCGAATAAATAAACTTAAAAAAAAAATCTCAAAGAGAAGCAAAAATCAGGAAAATATGAAAAGTATAATAGGGGGTGAGGGTCTGTCCTGATCAGATATTAAAATATCATTAAAATTATTTATATGATATAAATACACAGATTCTTTGAACAGAATAGAAAGTTTAGCAGTAGAATCAAATATAAATTAACTTATGATAAAGGTGACATCCCAGGTAAGGGGGAAAAGATGGATTTTTCTGTTAAGTCGTATTTGGAAAGAGCATAGACATTTGGAAAAAATAAACTTGTATTCATCCCTCACATCAACTGCAGAATAAATTTCCAGATGAATTACAGGTTTAAATGAACATAAAGTGAAACAGCAAAGATACCAAAAGAAATGATGAGAAAGAAATTTTGATAACCTTTGGCATAAACCTAGAACCCATACAGAAAAACAGGGATAAATTGGACTATGTAAAAGTTGAAAATGTTCGCATAACCAAAACAGGCAGAAACAAAGATAAATGACAACTTTTAGGAAAATACTTGCAATGTATGTAATACATAAAGATCAAATTTCCTTCACATATGAAGAACTTCTATAAAACCTTTAGAAAAAAATCAACATGGGGCACCTGGGTGGCTCAGTCTCTCGAACATCCAACTCTTGATTTCAGCTTTTCAGCTCAGGTCATGATCCCAGGGTCATAGGATCGAGCCCTGCATTAAGATCTGCACTGAGCATGGAGCCTGCTTGGGAATCAATCAATCTCTCTCTCTCTCTCTCTCTCTCTCTCTCTCTCTCCCCCTCTCCCCCCCTCCCCCCCACCCCCGTCCTTCTCCCCCGCTCATGCCCACTCTTTCTGTCAAAATAAAAATAAAAAATAGAAAACATCAACACTGAACAGAAAAATGGGCAAAGGATAAGAATAGACAGAAGTTACCAGTGTTTCTTAAATGAAAATATGCCCAACCTCAGCCATTAGAGAAATAAACGTACCCAGATGTTCTTTTTCTTTATTTTAATTACCTACCAGATTGTCAAAATTTCCAGTATTAACTAGTTGACAAGAACATAGGGAAGTGGCATTTACCTACTTTGTGGTGGGTTTATGAATTAGCACAACTTTTATGGAAGGTAATTTGATTATACCTGTAAAAATTACAGTGCCCATACCTTTGACCCAGGTTGTATACTTTTAGAAGTTTGTACCTCAGATATACTCACACATGTACAAATTGATATATGTGTTAAATTATTTATATCAGCATTATTTGTTTCAGTGGGAGAGCAAAAAATTGGAAATAGCCTAAATGTCCATCAATAGGGAATTAGTTCAATAAATATGTTAACACCAGCAGTGATCCTCAAGATACATTATTTTACAACAAAATTTAGTTGTAAAATAATGTAAGTGATATGCTACCATTTTTTAATTGTAAAATACATAACATAAAATGGAGTTTTTTAATCATTTCTAAGTGTACAATTCATTGACCTTAAGTCCCATGACAATATTGTGCAACCGTCACTATTCATTTCTAGAACTTGTCACCTTCCCAAGTAGAAACTTGCTACCCGACAAGCTGTAACTACTCACTGCTCCCAGTACTTGGTAATATCTGTTCTACTTTCTGTCTCTATGATTTTTGTCTATTCTAGGTACCTCATAATAGTGAAATGATGTGCTGTTTGCCTTTTTGTGTCTGGCTTTTTTTGCTTAGCATGATGTTTCAAGGTTCATCCATGGTGCAGCATTATCAGAATTTTATTCCCTTTTATGGCTGAATAATATTCCATTGATGTATACATAACATTTTGTTTATTCACTCATCTGTAGATGGACATTTGGGTAGTTTCTACCTTTTGGCTGTTGTGAATAATGCTGCTGTGAACATTGGTGTATGAGTATCTAATTGAGTTCTTGCTTTCAGTTCTTTTGGGTATTTACCTAGAAGTAGAATTGCTGGATCATACAGCAGCCCTGTTTAACTTTTTGAGAAACTGCCATGCAGTTTTCCACAGAAGTTGTAGCCGTTTACAGTCCCATCAGCAATTGGTAAGGATTCCAATTTCTCCACATCCTTGCCCACACTTGTTATTTTCATTTTTTTGTGGGTTTATGGGGAAATGTCTGTTCAGATCCTTTGCCTGTTTTTTAATTAGGTTATTTGTCTGGTTATTGTTGAGCTGTAGGAGTTCTTTGTATGTTCTGGGTATTAGACTTACACCAGAGACACGATTTACACATATTTTCTTCTGTGGGTTGCCTTTTCACTTTCTTGATAGTGGGCTCTGAAGCACAAAAGGTTTTCATTTCGATGAAGTCCGGTTTATTTTCTTTGCTTGCTTGTGATTTTGATGTCACATCTGCCTAATAGAAGGTCATAAAGATTTACACCTATATTTTCTTCTAAGAGTTTTATAGTTGGAGCTCTTATGTTTGGGTCTTTGATCCATTTTGAAGTTACATTTTGCATATGGTGTGAGGTAAGGTTCAGAGTCCACTCTTCTGCATGTGAAAATTCACTTGTGCCAGTGTTAACATGACTCTTTTCTCCCCATCAAATTGTCTTGGCACCCTTGGGGTACCTGGGCGCCTCAGTCAGTTAAGCGTCCAACTTCGGCTCAGGTCATGATCTCATGGTTCATGGGTTTGAGCCCCGCATCGGGCTCTGCTGACAGATCAGAGCCTAGGGCCTGCAGCCTCTCAAAACTAAACAAACATTAAAAACAAAAAAAAAATTGTCTTGGCGCCCTTGTAAAAAATCAGTTTCTTGTAGGCGGTGCCTAGGTGTCTCAGTCGGTTAAGCATCCAACTTCAGCTTAGGTCATGATCTTTCATGGTTTGTGAGCTCAAGCTCCACATCAGGCCCTGAGCTGACAGGGCAGAGCCTGCTTTGGATCCTCTGTCTCCCTCTCTCTCTCTGCCCCTTTTCTGCTCATACTCGTGCACTCCCCCTCCCCACCTCTCTCTCTCAAAAATAAACATTAAAAAAAAAAAAATCAGTTGCTTGTAAAAACCCAACTGTGTGGGTTTGTTTCTAGACTTGTAACTCTATTCTGTTGATCTGCGTGTCTGTTTTTATGCCTGTGTACACCTTTTAAATCTTCTGACTTTTGAGTCATGCGAACATATTCATTCAAAAATAACAAAATTTTAAAATGATTGTTAGCTATGACCACAATTTACTCCTTTAATTTCCCTCCAATTTGCCTTTCAGGAAAGTGCGCTGTGTTGTCATTCAAGGACTTCCTCTCCTGCAGACCAACTGAAATACCAGAAAATGACATTCTGCTTTGTGAGAGCCGCTACAACGAGAGTGACAAGCAGATGAAGAAATTCAAAGGACTGAAGAGGTTTTCGCTGTCTGCTAAAGTGGTAGATGATGAAATTTATTACTTCAGGTAAAGCTTGAAAAACTTCAACTCCCAATAGGAAAATTGATACCCAAATAGTATAGCCCATGGTGGTTTTTTGTTTGTTTTTCTTATTCTTAAACTAGAGCTGTGTACATTTCAAATAGAAAATATTAATTCAGCTAAAAATTAAAGGAAAATCCTCATTGTCGAGATGTAATAACTGCCCTTGGCATAGACTCTAGTAATTGTAATTTGGAGGCAGAAATCCTTCGTTCTGGTTTATAGCCTATCTATTAAGAGATCTTGCCTAGTTTCACAGTATGAAAATTCTCTTCACTGTATTATATAGGCAACTAGATCTCAACTTTGGATCCAGTTTTGTGGATTTTGGGTGGATTTTCAGCAGAATTCTTTGAAAATCAAACGTCTATAAATAGGGGTGACTTTATAAATACCCATTTAAATTCTTTCCTTTGCTGACTTAGAACATACATTGCAGATTGCAGGAAGTCTTTTCTAAATATTAAGGCAGAGCATTGCTTTCTGACCAATCCTGGAGTGGTATTTGGTGATTGTTTTCTTTTTTTTTTTAATTTCACTGCTTTTAGAAAACCAATAGTTCCTCAGAAGGAGCCCTCACCTCTGTTGGAAAAGAAGATCCAGTTGCTAGAAGCTAAATTTGCTGAGTTAGAAGGTGGAGATGATGATATTGAAGAGATGGGGGAAGAAGATAGTGAGGTCATTGAACCTCCTTCTCTGCCTCAGCTTCAGACCCCACTGGCCAGTGAGCTGGATCTCATGCCCTACACACCCCCACAGGTGATGGTGACAAGTTCCTGTTACTTGTCTTTCTCTCAGCTTTGGTTCATAGCACACTCAAGCCGAAGGAAGGAGATACCCAGCCCTCACATATGTGAGCTTCAACCTAGAATTATGCAGGAAGGAACAAATTTTTTTTCTTTCTTGATGCCACAAAGAATTTTAAATTTCATACCGTTTTAAACTTTGCATAGATAGCTATTTTTAATGGCATGTTAAGTTAGAAAGCTCTGCCTACCTTGTGTTGAAGGTGAGCAGTGAGGAGCAGCATCGCCCTGTGACTTTAGCCTTTCCTGCCCATATCTTTCTCGTCTCTCCTCCTTCAGGCCCTTATCTGGGTCGAGGTGATCCCTGGTGGTATTTTTTTCTCATTCAGAATTTTCCCAAGACATAATTGTGAGGTCACCATTACAGATTACAGTCATGGAATTCAGAAACTTTCATTTATTTCTTAAATGGTAAGAGGCAAGGAAGAACTGTTTTGACCAAGAAAATGACCAGCTATAAACTAAACGTGTCTGCAAAATAATAATAACTATTGAATCACATGTTCCTGGCTTCCAGAAACCTTGAGCAGTTGACCAGATGCAGTGTTCTGATGCACTATAAGAGCCTTCTGTCTTACAGTCTACCCCAAAGTCTGCCAAAGGCAGTGCAAAGAAGGAAGGCTCCAAACGGAAAATCAACATGAGTGGCTACATCCTGTTCAGCAGTGAAATGAGAGCTGTGATTAAGGCCCAGCATCCAGACTACTCTTTTGGGGAGCTCAGCCGACTGGTGGGGACAGAATGGAGAAACCTTGAGACAGCCAAGAAAGCAGAATATGAAGGTAAATAGAGACTAGGTGCAACTATCTCAGCTTTCTAAACAAGGGGGTGTTTTCAGGAATGCACGTGCATAGACAGGTTTTACTCTCTTGTTCTTACCTCTTGCACATGAGCTGTGTGTTGGGGACTGTCTCAAATGGCTCCCAGCCAACAGTTTAAATGCCAGCCTTGTCCTGACTGAGCAAGCACTGCCCCTGACTTGGCCTTTGGTCCTGGTGGGTTTTTTTTTTCCCCTAAAAAAATTTCTCAAATATTTTGCTATTAAAAATTGCATGGTTTTCTTCTTTTGTTGAGTCTTATAAGCATACGTGTGTTGAGCTGGGGAATGATTATATAAGAATGTTAAGTAGAATTTTGGTTAAAATTCATCCAAAAGGGAACATTCAAAATCAGGATCTATTATGGCTCTCGATAAGCCACATATTTAAGCTCCAGGCTGAGGCTTGGCTGAAAGCGCTTGGTTTCCTAGGCCAGTCTTGGCCTGTGCTATGTCTGCAGTCTTAGCTACTTTTAAGGCACTTGGAGTCCCTGATAAAGTTCACCTGCCTTCATTTTCCTTTTACTCTGTAATTAAGTTATTTGGGGCCATGAGCTATCATTTAAAGATTTGGTGGTTCTTAATTAGCCTTTAGGGACAAATACCTGAGCGATATTGGGGGGGGCGGGGGCAGGTATTGTTTTTTTTAAATGTCAGACATACCTTTAATAAATGAGTAGTGAACATTAGATTAGGCAGGACTCTTGCCTTGGAGCTATATTTTTTTCCATTTGGAATTGTATATATTGTTCATTTTGCCAGCTTAGAGCTGTCTCTCTATGGTTCACCACTGTGATCAACCATTACTCTTCTTGGCTGGGTCTAAATCTGCTATTTTCCAGCAAGAATAAAGAAATTAATTGTTAAGCCTAGCCTGCCTCCTTTATTAAAATGTATGGTATTTCCTAAGAAATTTTTCTAAAAAAAAAGATTTTAGTCTTTTCATTTATATCAATTGATTGATAATTGTAAAATTATCTGACAGGCTTCCCCAAACATCTTCTGCAGAATTCTAATCCTACAAGATGCTCAGACAGAAAAACCTTTGTGGCAAAACCAGTTTGAGAAGCATTCCAAACACTTCCACTCTTGGAAACTTATAGTGCATATTCCCATAGTAAAGTCTTTAAGACCTACCATAAACACCTGTGTTTTGTCACCTGGCATTTTCTGAAACTTGATCAAGTATTCATATAATGCTTTCTAGTATCATAAAGAACAAATATTTTGCAGAACACTCTTTAAGAAACCCTAGTCAATTCCATAAAAACCTCGAACTTTTCTTTGGTATTTGACCTTACTGAAAGTTAAGACCAAATATCACTCCATTGGAGGAATATTGGAGACGAAGCTCATGTGAATGTAAAGCCCAGTCTAGGGCAGATGAAGCCAGTCACATGTGGCTGGTTATTTAGAGTGTGAACAAGAGAGACAAATGTGCTGGATGTAAAAGTACAAACACTGGAGCAGGGCTAGAGAGAGGGGCAAAGGAGGGCTTCCAGGAGAGTCTCCTAAATTCAAATGGGAGTCTGAAATGGGAAAACCAAGTGAGGATGAGCTGGGTATGACTCAGCAGTGTCTGCCTGAGACACAAAATCTGAACTTGTGGTGTTTGGACCAAAACCCAGTGTGGGTTTGAACTCAAAACCCAAAGTTTGGAGTTGGGCTAGTTTCATTTAACAGTCGTCTTTTCCAACGCAGCCCGTTGGGCTCTTCCCAGAAGGAGCCAACAGGTAGCCAGTCCAATATTCGATCCACAGGCCTGAATTTTTCTTTTTTCAACTTCATTTTTTTGCTCTCCCATTTTACTGTGTCATTTGTGTAATGAAAATACTAGAATTTAATGTGGGGGTCTAGGTCATTCAGTGGTTTGTTTTGTTTTTTTTACTGCTGGCACAAGGAAATGGGTTGTTCCAATGGCCTTTGTCCCTCACGTTCATTGTACAGAGGATCTATAAACTGAGACAGTGTTAATGAGTGATGACAGGCCCATACAGGCAACTCTCACAGCAAGGAAGCTCTGACTTGCTTGACTTTCACATTCTTATGCTCATGGAGGACTGGAGCTGTTGCTTCTTGATTCTCTTTAAAGCCATGTGATCTTGAGCTATTTTCCACTCCTTAGATCAGCCAACAGTAGCCTTTTGAATTCCATGTTGGAGGGTTAATGTGTGGCAGTGAAATGTGCTATCATAAGTCAGGGCTACATGTTGCTGGTTCTCTCGGTGTCCTTGGACAAGTTACTACCTATCTCCCAGCCTCAGCTTGCCCATGTGAGGAGTGGGGAAGATTTCCCGTTTATGAATAGTGAAGCAAAACAATCCCTGTATTGTGAGAGCTTTGGGAACACATTTCTAGACTTTTCTAGTAAGGGTCCAGCCTGCTAGCTCCCAAAAAGACTGGGAATGTGATTGTTGGGGCTACTGGCTATGGAGGGGTAGGACAGAGCAGCTCGAAGGAGAAAAGGGTACAGCAAGCGGTGCTCCACAGCCCAGAACTGGCACAAGCAAATGCTCCTCTTGTATTTTGGATGAAAGAAGAGTGATTTCTTGGAACTTTAGCTGATTTAGGATGATCTATGGTCAGTATTGAACTGCTCAGCCTCAGGAAACCTGGTTCTGTCAGTACATTGTCCATTGTTTCATATGTGTATATATATTCCCTGCTTCTGATGACTGTAGCCTGGAGTATCATGCATTTTTTCCCCTCGGGGTTTATTAAACATGACCTCTTTGCTTCATTAGGATGTAGAAAGTAGTGTTTTATTTTCCCTAAAACCTTGTGAAGGAGGCAGTAAGCTACTTTTCCCTTACAGAGTTAATTTTCTTCAGCTGCTAAACCCCATGACACTAATGACAAGAGTCCTCAAATCGTAGTAAAATTGGGTGCAAGGAATCAGGAAAATAGTGTAAGTAACAATTGTGCCAAAAATTATAATGGGCCATGGAATTGCTTCATGTTGAAATTATAAATAATTTATAATGCTATTAATACTAGAATAATGGTAGCGCTTCTCATCTTCAGGGTGCCTTGTGAGATTAACCACGTTGGTTACGCTGGTGACGTGTTTAAATAAAACCTGTGCTTTCTGAATGTGTGTTGCAGTCTTAACATTCTTGAAATCTTTGCAGACCAGTTCTCAAGATGGGATAGGAAAGCTGGACGCTAGGTTACCAAGTGAAATCGGCCCGACTCCTCCTGTGTTGAGACTAGTCATCTACTGTTCCTTCCGTTGAGACAGAACTGTTGCCTGTGTTTTTACTAGTCCTGTTGAATGCAATGGATGGTATTTTGAATTCCTGGGTTAAAAACAGAATTGAAAATCTGAAATGCCTTTACAGAGCGGGCAGCTAAAGTTGCTGAGCAGCAGGAGAGAGAGCGAGCAGCACAGCAACAGCAGCCGAGTGCTTCTCCCCGAGCAGGCACCCCTGTGGGGGCTCTCATGGGGGTGGTGCCACCACCAACACCAATGGGGATGCTCAATCAGCAGTTGACACCTGTTGCAGGTAAAAACAGGAGCTAAGACCATTTTTTTCCACTTTAAGAAATTCCTTCATTTTTTTTTTTCTCCAATGAGGAGTAGGCCACAATCTCTAGGCTTTTCTCATGGCAGAGTCAAAGTTTCCAGTCGTCCATGTCGTCCTTCTGTCGCCTTTCCCATATGGGCAATGCCTCCCCTCTGCCCCAGAAATGGGCCCTGGGCCCAGTCCTGGGAATTAGTAGGGAGCAGCTCTAGCCTGGCTGTGGGCATGGTCTGGCGATACTCTCCACCCCAGACTGCTCTGGATATAGAGCCCTATAGCAGAAAACCTAAACAGACCCTGAATTCTGTTCTGGAGGGGCTCCCGAGAGAAAACACGAAACTAAGCACTTAGGTGATACCGATTTTCCCGTCTCATTCCAGGGTTCAGTTTGCCTTGTTCTGCTGCAGCCATCCTTAAAAGACTGACCATTTTAAAGGATTTTTGACCGTGAATTCTAAATCCTTTCTTGGTCACTAATGTGCATGACTGCTAAGTGGAGTACAAAGTCCTTATTCAATTCATTGTGCCCACTCTGTAATGCTTTTCTATTTAATTACATTAAACTGCATTTTCTGTTAGTATCCCAGTCACATATTTGTAAAAAAAAAAGAAAAGAAAATGATGAATGTGGTTTGCTTGTGTGTGTTGTCTCTGGTTCTGGTAGCCATGGCAAATTTGGCTATTCTTGAATTGAATATCCTTGTCTGATGTGTCTCCAACGAGAAGCCCGTAGATCACTTCTCGGGTCCTTCCTTCGTGATCTCCCTAAGCCTGGTGAGGTCCGTACAAGCCACCTGAGTGTCTTCTGAAGCAAGCGGTCTGACTTCTTTTCGCAGGGAGTCCAAGACAGTGTTGTTCAAGGCAGGCTCATTGGGATGCTGTTTTTGTTTTTGCTTTTTTGTATTTGCTTTTCAAGGAAGAGTAGCGTAGGATAACTTTTTCATTGTCGCTCCTACCTTTTGTGATGGCAAGTTCTCAAATGCACTGTCGCTCAACTCAGCAGTTGCACTCGCCAGAGCACATCTGAATCATGGCTTTTCAGTACTCTCAGTGTAACTGACGTTGATCTAACAAATCTCATAATCGCCTGCTCTATTCCATGGCCCATTTTGGTTAACGGGATTCCAGAGGGTTTTAGAAATCAGGCCTTGAACATGGGGACTTTTGAAAGTTAGAATTCCCTCGTTGACATCCTGTTTTGTTGCGTTTGATATGTGATACTGTAGCACTGTGCCCTTGACTAAAAAGCCCAGGGACACGTTAACAAAATGAATTCAAACAGCTAAAACTATTAAAACACAGCAGCTGCAGCATTTTAGCTCCCTGTTGGGGAATACCATCATAGCGCTCTGAGGGGCAAGGAGTGGGGGGCGGGGGGACCCCTTCACATTATTAAGCATGTGCTGCCCAGATTCCAGGCCATGGGAGTGAAGGGCAAGCAAGCATCCTGTACGGTCACCAGTCTTTGGTCCACAGTGGGAACTTTGCAGCTGACAGGGTGATTTTTCTTGGGTTTACAGATTGCTTAGGGCCTAAGTCTTAGCCTTGTTGCTGTCTGAGACCAGCTTTGCTTACAAGCATTAAAGCTCATTTGAACACATGTGACTGGGATAATAAGTGCCAAAGTACAGTTTAATGAAGACAAGTGTCATGGCTTTCAGTTCTTAATACTTTTCTTCAACCACAGCCCGTGAAGGCTGCGTTCAGATGGGCTTTTGTAATTGAAAGCAAAGCCTCCTAATGTCCTTAAACTCCCACCTATTTACCCATAAGAGCTGGAGCTGGTGGTGTGGTTAAAAGGCAGTTTGGCAGTTTTGTTTAAGATGATGGTATCTGTTCAAAAGTACTTTTTACTCTCTGAACTCTCATTTTAAAAACCATGAAACTCATAATCCTATTTCATGTATAGAGGTACTATTTAGAATTTGCTTTATTGGTGTGTGTGATTTTAAGTTTTTCAGTCAGCTTAGATATGACTAATGAAGCAGGCTGAACCAATCTCAGAATTTTCAGTAATGTTATAGCTTCAAAAGACTAAACTTTTATCAATAGATACCTTTCAATAATCCTTATGGGAAAGTCAAAGAGTAAAGTCCTTAGAATCTGGAGTTTTCCACTGTTTCCCAGGGTCCTCCTACAAAGAGTGTTTTGTAAAAATGAGGTTTGGCACCCGTCCCTCAAGCTTCCCTTCGTGCAGGAAGCTGGGACCAAAGGTGATTGCATTCTGGGGGGAGCCTTATGTTTTGTTTATTGTGATCATTTCAAGTCCCAGAAGAGTTAAGTTGTTTTTCTTGCTCAAAAAAAATGTCGTGTGGCTTTAAAGTTCTTTTGATAGGTGAGTTTTTGACATTTTGAAATTATTTTCTTTCTTTCACTCCTTTTGCCAAAAATACTGGTTTCCTGAAACTCTTCCCTAGCCAGCAGAAAATATTTTGTGTTATGAAGATACGCTTTGAAAATAAAGGAATAAAGGCCTCTGTTCACAGAAAGTCTGTACCTCATTTAAAATGTTCCCTGTTAACTGAAGGTTTATGTGAGGGCATTTGTGAACTTGGAGACAGTAATGACAATTGGCATTTTCTCACATCAGCAGAGCCTGATTCTCCAGCCATTCCTTCTGAGGTCTACGTGCCTGCTACCGAGTGACCTGGGATTAGCTTAGCTTGGCTTGGGAGGGTTTAGGTTTTATCTTTGTTTTACATGTTTAGAGATCTAAAGATGAAACATCATCCATTGTGATGGCTCTTCTCTGTTCCCCAGCTCAAGCCTGAACATGATCCATTTTTACCAAGTAGTGGTGGGGCTAGAAGGGAAGAGGAAGCCTTGAAAGGCTCTTGCCCACTCCCCCCCTCCACCCCCACGCACCCCAAGCTGGAGAACCATGCTTTGTGATCAGGGCTGTGCGCCTCATTTCCCTCCATTCCAGTGTCCCCTCATGTGCACCCATGATAGGCGTAAGAGTGTGGGCAGAGTGGGGTGATGGGGTTTAGTCTGTTGAATTAGAACCGCAGTTGCAGAACTGGTCACTCTGTTTGAACAGCTTGCAATAACATGACCTTGGGAAGGCTGTTACTGGAACTCCTCTTTATTATTATTTAATTAAAAACATGCAACATATTTATCCCAGGGAAGATAACTGCAAATAATAATCTACTAAGTACTAATTCATCCACAAGTGTTGGATTTCATATTTGTAACTTTTTATTTTGTTCATTATTGCAACAAAATAATTGCACTAATTGCTGTTATCTCACACAGTACTAAGGGCGCTTTATTCATTGGTAGTGCATGGGGGGGATTTGTTATTACTTCGCTCATGTTGCATGTTAATGATGCATGTCTGAAATTTGTTGTGTCCTTCAAGGCATGATGGGTGGCTATCCGCCAGGCCTTCCACCTTTGCAGGGCCCAGTTGATGGCCTTGTTAGCATGGGCAGCATGCAGCCACTTCACCCTGGGGGGCCTCCACCCCACCATCTTCCGCCAGGTGTGCCCGGCCTCCCGGGCATCCCACCACCGGGTAAGAACTTCATCCTCCTTCACTCATTAATCTCATCTTCATATTCTCTTTTTTCCTCCCTCAGCCAGTTGTTCCCGGAGGTACCTGCTGCCCACTGTGGCCAGGCCTTTCCTCACTGAGAATCCCAGGGATGTCAGCAGCAGGGCCTGTCCCGTGTATTTGAGCAGGCGGCTCAGCACCTGTGCCCTTGGGCACCTGGCTCCCTAGCAGCAGCAGAGGACACATGGCAGAGACCAGACTCAGCAGACCAGGGGGCAGAAGGCATACTCTCATACCACTCAGACAATTTGACGTGTGCTCAGAAAACCGAATACAGCCTAGGAAGGTCATGCCCTCTTTATCAGTGAATGATACATGGATGATCAGTGAACGATATCCCAAATGGCTAGTTCTGAGTCACATAGGAAAGCACTTTGGGTCCTGAGGGTACTTCTTCCTCTGATTCAGTTCTTCTCTCACAAGGTCTTCTGTATGGAACCCCTGCTCCATCTCCTGCTTCTCAAATAGCCCTTCTAAGGGGATTGCAGAGTCACTGATCACGGTGAATAAATCCTTCAGCCAATCATTCTAGGAACAAAAAGGAGGGAGGGAACGAATTTGCAATGAACACGTTTTCTGTATATGAGTCCCCTAAGAAGTATGACATAAGACCTTAAAGAGCAGCATAGCCCTCCCATACTAACTGTAGACACTGGTTTATCTGTCAGCAGAAGCTCAGAATTGATTTCATGTAGAAGCATATAAATGGAGTTCAGAACTAGCTACAGATTTACTTTGTAAATAGTAAGTTGAAATATTACTTTATTGCGAAAGGAAGATCGCAGGTTCCCATATTGATTGCCATCAAATGCCAAAGAACTGACCTTTAGCTGTAATCTAGTTGGAGGGAATGTGACCTGAAGATAACTTAGAAGAGCATTGGGGCCATTATCCAAAATACCAGCTAAAGGCCTGGCCCAGATGACAAAATGTAGAAATGTTAGACTTGCCTCCAGCAGTGTTGGGTTATACAGAGTTCCAGAAGTGCTTCAGAGGTACACCCAGCAGTGGGCAGGGTGAGTGAACCTGGTGGCTTGGCCTAGAGCCTCCAGCCACACTCTTATGAGTATTGCTTAGAGAATGGCCATAACTCCACACAAGTGTTTGATTCAGATATACCCGAAGAGGAAATGTTTATGGCAGTGGGTACTTCATTTTAGAAGTAGTGGCCTGTGTGGGAGTTACTCTTGCAGCAAAAGTCAGTCATAAGATGGGTGTGCCCCTGTGGCAAGTAGAATTGGCCTTAATTCTGTACCTTCTCACCTTGACTTAGGGTACCCTATCTGACTGACTCAGACCAGGTTGGAGTTGACTTCTGGGTGCATTTGGTACTCAGTGGGAGCCACATCTGAGGCCAGTACCCTCTAAGTAGCAGATACCTTTTGGTGGGTGTTGAGCACAGCTGTGTCCCTTTCCCCACTTCTTCGGGTGTTTAAAGTGCATTTGAAGGAAGCACACACTTACCTTTTAGTTGGGGAGACAGGGAAGAACTCTTAGTGCCCACACACACGCACGCACACACCTGCTTGGGCTTGGAGGAGAGGAGGACTCTGGGAGCTCCTCTGCTGACTCAGCCCATGCTCTCACTGGCTGCCCCTTTGCATGGCATTTGAAAACAGGAAGCAGAGGGGATTGCTGAGTTGTCTGTGCTCCCCTGCGGAAAAGGAGAAAGGCAGCTCAGGGAGGCCCCTCATGTTGTGGGATCTGAGGAGGGTGAGTGTCCCGGAGGGGGGCGGTGCACAGGGGTTAGTATGTTGGAGCAGCAGCTTACCCACCACAGCCTCTTAACCCAGTCACAAATAATCATCAGGATTCTGCTGTGGTGATCTGGAATATAAAAATCCCCACTTTGTAAACAGAAAGCTTATTTGTACTACCACATTCTCTTTAACAAATGTCTAATACTTCCTGAAGTGGCATTTAGCAATTCAGAACCTTAGAATAGTGTACTGGTGCTGCCTGGCCAAAATAGCAACATTTTGAATCTAGAAAATCTAGTATGTGAGGTGAGCTCCTTTTGACCCTTCTTTGCAGCCAGCAGGATTTGTTTAAAAGTTTAAACAGGGGTTTGTTTGACTGTAGTTTGTTAGTTTTTAACAAACTGGAACCCTTCCTTATTTCAATGTTTTATGAGAATAATAAATGGACAGTCCTGAGATGAAAACAGCCCCAGACACAAAAGTTAGGACATCTCACCTTTATCAGCTAGTACCTGTGGGACAGAAGTTGCTTGTGAGGCATCATCACTGGGAAGTTTATAAACTTACAGAGTACAAATGTAGAAAGAGTACAAAGTTTATAAACATACAGAGTGCAAATGTAGTAAGACCACGAAATCTTTTCTCTTTCCCTTTGTCATTTTTGCATTTGAAGTGATAGCAACGAGGCTGATTTACTTCCAGATGATCCTTTTCCAAGTACTGCTCTACCAGATGGAAGTGACCTGTCTGCCAGTATTAGTGACTCCAGTTAGAACCAGGGGTGCTGGGGGCCTGTGAGTGGACCGCAAGGATGTGCCTCCAGCCACCACAGAGCTCATTTAACCGTGCGCTTGCACAGCCTCTCCCCTGTGTCCCTGCTGTCCTAGCACACTGCCTGCTGCTGAGCCTGACTGCAGCACCATCACTGCCAAAATGAAACTTGGGCTCCAGTTTCAGGAAAATGTGTTGTCAGAAGAAAAACACCTTGAAAATAGAGGTGTATTCTGACTATAGTTTACCTAGGGAAATACTAGAATTTTATGCAGGGTTCAAATCATTTCTAAGCCATGAATAATTAATGTACATCTGACAAGTTATACTACCTTTGTACTTAAAATAGCTAGAAAACCAAAGAATGTGAACTTTCTATTTGAATTCCGCATCCTGTTCTGGGGGCTTAGGGTTCTTATCCACAAAGATTCAAGGGCAGAGGTCCATAGGTTTGCATTATAAATGGCATCATTTCTTATCAGGCAGTAGTTTTTCAGTAGCCATCTCAACTCAGAACCTCTAACTGTGCCATTGCGTTCTGAATTATAGGTGTGATGAACCAAGGAGTGGCCCCTATGGTAGGGACTCCAGCGCCAGGCGGAAGTCCATACGGACAGCAGGTGAGCCTCCCAGCTGGATTTTCTAGGACTTGACAGAATTCAGGTTATCCTCTTTCTCAGAGCATGTGCCAAGTATTTTTTCCCTCACCATGTTCCCTGTGCTCTTTCAGGTGGGAGTTTTGGGGCCTCCAGGGCAGCAGGCACCACCTCCGTATCCTGGCCCACATCCAGCCGGCCCCCCTGTCATACAGCAGCCAACAACGCCCATGTTTGTGGCTCCCCCACCGAAGACACAAAGGCTTCTCCACTCAGAGGCCTACCTGAAATACATTGAAGGACTCAGTGCTGAGTCCAACAGCATTAGCAAGTGGGACCAAACCCTGGCAGGTAAGGAGAGTCCTTCTCAACAAGCCTTTGTGAAAGCCGTGCATCGTCAAAGTCCTCTCACTGTGATTGGCGTGTTATGCCATGGGGTAGAGATCCACTTCTCGTATATAAGTAAAATAAATTTTATCTTGAACATCACACACCGAAGATGGTGGGGGTTTTTTGCTCAATTTCTAGACTTTGTTTTGTCATAAGCATCACTGCTGTCTTTTTAAGTATATTCTGAATTTTTTCACCAGTTTTTCAGGCATTTGAGCATCAGCACAGATGCACTTGGGTAAATTAAAAATTAACTTCAGTTCAGTTTTAAAAAAGAAAAGAATATTGGAAAACATGTTTCAGATAACCTGTTGAGTCTTTATTTAGCTCAGAGAACTTCCTGAGTGGGTTTTCAGTACCCACTAAAATAACGTGCCTGGCTTCTGGGAAGAAATGTGGAAGTTCCTACTCATTCTTCATTTCTAAACCTAATTTGATTTCTTTCAGAAGTATGTTTTCCCTTTCCTCACATTTACCTTTTTAGGAATTTTTGTTAACACTAAAGAAATTGATTATCAGGACTGCCTACAACAAAATAGTAGTGATCAGATCTTTTAGGTGTTTGTGCAACTCTTGTGTTCCCTTTTAGAGAATTATGTTATATGTGCAGCTCTTTTGTGAAGTCATTATTATAAATTAGATAATTTCTAAAATACATAGCATAAACTAAGACATCCTTAGCTAGGTAGTCTCATACCTAAGCACGTGGTTTTCTAAAAACCAAGATGCCTAATAAAATAATAGGCATTTGCTTGGAAATACACTGCAGGGTTAAAATTCATAATATTTAATAAATAATAAGTGTTAGGGGTACCTGGGTGACGCAGCTGGTTAAGCATCCAACTCCTGGTTTCCATCCAGGCCACAGTCTCACAGTTAGTTCGTGGGTTCAGGCCCTGTGCTGGGCTCTGCGCTGACAATACAGAGCCGGCCTGGGATTCTTTCTCTCTGAGCCTCCCCCATTGGAGCATGCGTGCACCTCAAAATAAATATACTTTAAACTTTAAAAAAATCTTTAAAAAATATTAAATGTTACATGCTTTAGTAAATCTGTCAGGCCTTAGGACTGAGGGGGAATTGTTACCTACTTATATTTTTCCTTATTCCTACTTATATTTCCCCGTGTGTATTTTAATTTTCAGCTCGAAGACGCGATGTCCATTTGTCAAAAGAACAGGAGAGCCGCCTGCCCTCTCACTGGCTGAAAAGTAAAGGGGCCCATACCACCATGGCAGATGCCCTCTGGCGCCTTCGGGATTTGATGCTCCGAGATACCCTCAACATTCGCCAAGCATACAATCTAGAAAATCTTTAATCACGTCAATTACGTTTCTTTTATAGAAGCATAAAAAGTTTTGTGGAACAGTAGCCATTTTAGTTACTGGGGGCGGGAGGGGAGGAACAAAGGATGATAATTTTTATTGCATTTTACTGTACATCACAAGGCCATTTTTATATAAGGACACTTTTAATAAGCTATTTCAATTTGTTTTTGTTATATTCAGTTGATTTTATCAAATACACAGAGATTTTTTTGCATATGTTTCCTTCGTTTAAAACCAGTTTCATAATTGGTTGTATATGTAGACTTGGAGTTTTATCTTTTTACTTGTTGCCATGGAACTGAAACCATCAAAGGTTTTTGTCTTGGCTTGGGGTTTTTGATTTTGGTTTTTGGTTTTGTTTTTTAAAAAAGAACAAACAAAATGAAAAAAAAATACATAAACACACACACACACACACACACACGCACCCATGAGAGTTTACAGATTAAGTTGACAATGAAATGTGAAGTTGGTCCTAGTTTACATCTTACAGAGGGGAGTGCACTGATGTCTGCTTCATGTGCCTCAGTATCTCAAGTCACTTTAGCAGAAGTGAAGGGTTGTTTTTAGGTTCTAGGTTTTTGGCAGACATGGCACATTTGCTCTATGGACTCAGAGGCTTGCTCCAGAAATCTGAAGTCAGTGCTGTGCATCCTTCTGCAGCTGGTACATTGCCCAGACACCTGCGGGGCAGAGCACTGTTTCTTGTGCTGTTGGTCATATATGGTGTCAGTTATTTTTGCAGAACATGTGCACAACCCTGAACTGTATTTAGTCTTGGCAGGTAAGTTTAAGGGTACTTTTGATCTATTTATAATGAATTCACAGTTTAATCCTATACTTCTTAGATTTAAAATTTTAAATCTCTTACATTGAAAAAATTGAAGTTTACCTTGAAGAAAGCATTGAGGTGTGCATGGAGGTGATTTATTTTTCAAACCTAACACCTAACCCAGCATAGGGAAGGGAGTGTATATGAGCTGTGTCAGAAGCATAATTGTAAAAGAGTAGATTGTCTACATATGCAAATATGTTTTCTTACCTTTATTTCCTCATCAGTTGTGGCATTTTTTTCCTTCTGACTTTCAGCACTGCAATTCTCAACCAGAAATTTAAGGCTTTCTAGAATGTTTTTTTAAATTTAGCTTGTGCTTTTGAATTTCAGGAGAAAATAATTATAATTTAAGAAAATACTAAAAAAGACCATTACGGATCCCAGACACTTGGGCTTGACCCTGTCTCTCTTAGGTGACCCTAGAAGAAATATTTGCAGGTAGTGTATGATGCTCAGACAGGTAGAAAGCATCAAACCTGGAACAGTATTTCACTCCACGGTTTTGAAACCTGCTTTTTTGTAACAAGATGGTTGCCATGTTGGTGGAGCTTCCCTTACTGTTTGTAAATGGAGAGAGTGACCCTCACAGGATACTTTCTTCTTTTAATCTGGTATAAATCAATACCTGGATATTTAATTGCCATTCTTACTAAATCATGAGGACAAAAAGAGTGTAGAATGGAAGAAAAGCCTCTTGTATCTAGGTACTTTAAATACAGGAGGCCCTTGTAACTTAATTGCGTATAGTCAACCACTGGATCTCAGTTTGCATCAAGTATTTTAAATAATTCTGACTTTTAAAAAATGTATTGCAGTAGTATGTCAGTACCTTATTGTTAAACTGAATCAGATAAAGAAATCTTCAGTTTCCTAGTTATTTGGGCCATTGAATCATCATGGACTGTATAATACAATCAGATTATTTTATTTCTAGACATTCTTGAATTACACCAAAGAACCTGAAATCTAATTTTGGTTAAGTTATTTATTTATTTCATTCACCCATTTTATTTCCCCTTTTAAGGTCTGGATGAGACTTCTTTGGGAAGCCTCTACAAACTCTTCACTGTGGGCTAGGGTGGGGCATTAGAAGCCAGGGCACTCCTCCTCCCGGCTCCTTCCCAGTGTCTAGAGGTGCTGTAGAAACCATAGATCCAGCCAGGGGCTTCCCGAAGGCAGTGCAGAGCCGGGCCAGGGGGCCGGTAGGCAGGCCCTAATTAAGTTTAAAAAAAAAAAAAATCTATGTATTTATTTTAGAATCATGTCTTTCTGTATATTAACTTGGAGAATATCAGTTAATATTTAGGATATAAGATTTGAGGTCAACCATCTTCCAAAAAAGATAAGCCAAAAAAAAAAAAAAAAAAAAAAGTCCTGACTTAAAAAAGTACAAGTAAACTATATACATCTTTTTTTTTTTTTCCCCAATGAATTTTAGGAACTAGTGATATGGCTTAGAAAGTATAATGGCCTAAATGTTTTCAAAATGTAAGTTCATATGGAAAAGAGTTTTGTTTATATGGGGGAAAAACCTGTTGGTTTAAAATAGTAGGTCAGCCAACTGATTTAAAAGGCGCTGAATTGCCTTGTTTTGAACCCCCCTTCTCTTCCTATGAGGAAGCACTGAAAGGGGATGCTTCCCTGTGTGAAATCTCAAACTGGTGTTGTTGACTTTTGAGCTTGAACATTTTCAGACCTAATTAAAACTTGGTTTATTCTAATTTCTGTATCAAAGGAGGTTTAAGTGGGAACTAGTCTTATAACATGTATGTATCATATGTTTGTTCATTTAAAGCTTTTTAATCCAAATAAAAATGGAGTTTGCAAAGTGATTTGGATTAACCAGGTTTGGTTGTTCTGTTAAAGCTTGTGTCAGATGTAAGTGTCAAGCAGATTTAATTGCTGCAAGTCTAGATTTTATGCTGACAGGGACACAGCTGCCAATTTAAGGGAACAAAGCTCCTCAGGTAGAGGCACAAGTCAGTGACCAGACCCTGGTTCAGGGCTTAGGCTGCATTAACACAAGCTGAATGTAGTCACACTGCAGCTTGACATGCCCCACGCCAAGCGTCTCAGGCAGTCAGTCAAGGAATTCCTGACATGTCCTCACCATGGGTGGAAATACAGGTCGAGGTTTAAATTGTAGAGTTACTGATGGTGGAAGTCAGGAAAGCGTGTCTTATATCATAAAGCAGTGTAAGCCATTTGAAATAGCTGCCTGTGGCCAGAAGAGACCAGTGGCCCAGTTGTGTCTTTACATATCCTTGTAATACAGCTCTTAAAGACATGACCACACTTTTAATAGAAAGTGTTGGTAAAATCAACCGTTTTCCTCTAATATCACTTTGCAAATCCCTGTGGCTCTGTTCTCCTAAATGTTTGGGGCTGTACTGCATCTATGCTCATGGGCATATTTTGAATGATCATTGATACGTAGTCAGACATTTCCTGCTGAACACCATGAGCAAACAAGTACTGTTACTGTGTTCCTTTTTAGCTTGGAAGTGTGCTAGGTCAGCTGAATGAATGTTCAGAACTGAGCAAATTAATAGACTATTTCTGTCCCCACAATAGACATAGTATTCACTTCTTGTGGGTTGCACATAAATGTGGCAAGAAATTCTAAATTTAATGCACATGTGTAAAGACTGAGAGCTGACACTGTACTTTTTTTTTTTTTTTTTAACGTTTTATTTTGAGAGAGAGACAGAGTACAAGCAGGGGAGGGGCAGAGAGAGAGAGGGAGTCACAGAATCTGAAGCAGGCTCCAGGCTCCGAGCTGTCAGCACAGAGCCCGATGCAGGGCTCAAACTCACGAACTGTGAGATCATGACCTGAGCCGAAGTCAGACGCTTAACTGAGAGAGCCACCCAGGCGCCCCTGTATGGCTTTGTCTAGGAGAGGAATTGCTTTGGAAAACACCATGGTCCAAATGTGTTTTGTTGTTGTTGTTTTTTAAGAGAAGTAACTTGGGGTGAAAAAATCAGACTTACAAAAAGAAAGGAAGAGAGATTAATGTGCTTAAGTTATAACATCTTAGATTTAGGCAAGACTTCCAGAATAAAACCCTTTAGACAAAGATAGCTCCCCTTTATGATTTACTATGTGCCTAACTTAAGTACTGTCCCTATCAGTTCAGATGAATAAGTGAAGCTCCAAAGCCACGTTCTTTACCCAACACCACACCGGATGTAGATTTCAAGCAACAAATGCTAGTTCCATTTTTGTCATTCTAGAAGTATTATGGTTTTTAAAATTTGAGTTATTAAATTTTTTGCCTTGTACTTCACACTAGGGGGCACAGCAGTTCTGTAATCAGCATATAAGAGCATTGCTCTTCACATTATTTAAGTTCCCTTAGCAGTTCCAGTGTGTGAGAAGTAGGGTAGAGTCATATTGTATAGTAGGAGACTTAAAATTTTTTTGAGGTGAAGCTTAAAAGCTTTCACTTAGGTTAACAAAGATTAGTTCTTTGTAGCATCCAAACAACATACTCTGAGAGTATCTTCAATTTAATCCAACAGATGCTTAGCTAGTCTCCTTGCCTGGAAATGAGACATTTCTTATCATCTTCAAAGTTCTGTTGTCCATCAGTAAATCAGAACTCTGATATATATTTTAAAAAGAAGAACAAAGAAAATGCTAAGGAAGGTTAACATGAATTTGCAGCTGTGATTCTTTCTGGGGTGCAGGCAGGGGGGCGGGCCAGGGAAGGAGCCCACAGCAGACACAGAAGTTAGCTGACAGTTTTATGGGCAGTTGTAAAAGGTGTGTAAATTACAGATTCTCTCTAGATTACCAATACTAAACTTCTAGAACTGGGGTGGGGTATGGAATAAGGCCATAAAATTGAGAGAATCCTACTACAATTTAATTCCTCATACTGCAGTCTAATCACTAAAATGCCTATAAGGTCAGGTTCACCAGGAACTCTCTAGGTGACACTGCACAGAAGAACCTCCTTCCTCTCCCCAGTGCTGTGGGGTCATCACTGGTCTTTACGCTTAAGCCATCGCTGAGCAGTGACCCTGAGCTGCAGCTGGTGTGGATAGTGCTTTAAGGAGATCGGAGTAGTCAGTGGGTCTTTATACTGAATTGGTTCTAACATAAATGGACTAATTTAAATTAGAAAAACGGGAAGAGATGTTTGTGACAGAGATTATTGAGAATACACTGTGGCCTTAAGCATCTGCTTCTATATATTCATGAGCAGTCATTAGAAACTATTTTGAAACTTAGTCTTCTTTAATACAGATATGTTCTTGTTTGAATAGATGTTGGATGTAGTTACCAAGCAGGGATTAAAAGGGAAAAAATGGATACAGCTTCTGCTTCTTACCAGCTGACCCAAACTTACTCTGGGTCAAATTACAAAATCTCTCCTCTGAGCCTCCGATTCAGATGAAGTCTGTGGTTACTTTATGGTTGCTTTGCAGTGTGAAGGTTCACTTTCTCAGGGAAGAAGTATTGTCTTTATCTTTAGCAGCTGGATGGAAGCACATCTTCATCACAGAGGGGTGGGAAGCCTGTCCCCTCTGGAGTCCTTATGGAGGTCCAGCCCTTGTATATTAGTGGGGACAGGCAAGGGGAGGGGTTATTTCTGTTCATAAGAGCACCTGACATGAGTAATGTGTGGTCAGGAATTCCCACCACCCTAGCAAATGTTGACAGATTGGTAGCTGGCAGGAATGTAATCTGCAAAATTATCTTGGTTTAAATAATCTTGCAATAGAGATCTTTTATCTCTATGTTTAAATCTAAATTCTGCAAACAAGTAATTATTTGTGGCCTAAAACAAGACTTCACAAATAATTCAGACTGAGACTGCACTAAAAAGCATCCTTGAATTTTGTTTTGTTTTGTTTTGTTTTTGATCCTTGAATTGTTTAAGAAATATTTTCATGGAGGGACGCCTGGGTGACTCAGTTAAGCTTCTGACTTCGGCTCTGGTCATGATCTCACAGTTGGTGGGTTCAAGCCCCTCGTTGGGCTCTGTGCTGACAGCTCAGAGCCTGGAACTTCCTTCAGATTCTGTGTCTTCCCCTCTCTGCCCCTCCGCCATTCTTGGGCATTCTCTCTCTCTCTCTCTCTCTCTCTCTCTCTCTCTCTCTCTCATAAACATTAATTTTTTTTTTTTTTTAGTATTTTCATCGAATGGATTTAATGGGCAAGAGTGTTTCAGGAGGAAAGTATTTTCCATAAGTGCCATCCAACAGTGACTTGGGAAGTATTCAAGCAGAGACAGGAAAACTATAAAAATTCTTTGTAAAGGCAGTTCTGGGAAGAACAAGAGATCTGAAAAGTACATTTTCAAAGGAATTGAAACCAGTAGTAAAATTTCATGTTCACTTTATTGACGGCTGAAGTTCAGTCTCCGATGCATTTTCCAGCCTTCTCTGATACTGTCGTTCTGAGGCTTTTCTACGGTAGACATCATCTGTGTCAAATAAAAATTTCACTTAGATTTTTAAGAAACAGGAATTAAAAGTACTCAGATCTGACTAACCAGTGGTCTAGAGCTCTCAAGCTCTTTCTGAATCTCACTGTTTAACTCAATGCCAAAATAAACCTCATTTAAAACAAAACTTGAGTTAGATGAGGACTATGTTAATGCAGTTCTGGACTTCAATAGCATGGTAAGAGTGTCTTCAAAGACAGGATCCTGTCCTGGCATACCTCTTAGCAATGTTTTTTAAGACTTTCCTCACTTCCTCCCCTGCCCGCCCACCTCCCCCTCCCCCCCCCCGCCCCCCCGCAAAAATGTCTTTCTCTGAAATCATCCTTAACTGAAGTGCCTCAAAGGCACGTCTTGCCCTGCAGCTCTCTGCTACTCCCTCACCTACACCAGGAACTCAGGGTGGGGAGGTGAGGTGAGTTCCCTTGTTCTCAGCAGCTGCCCTTTGACACTGCAGATTCTTCACCCTCTTCCTTTGGGGCTTACGCCATTTGCCACAATGGGCACCTGGCTCTCTCATGGGCACCTGGCTCCACCACTCCCCTTCAGTCACTGAAAATGCTGGCATCTAGCTCAGGCTCCTTGACCTCCCTGTGTGATCTTCCAGGCAACACCACCTGCCATGGGGATGAAGCACTAGCCCCTTCACCTCCCTGACTTCTCTGGCCACCTTCTGCCACCTACTTGCGGTGTTCTCTGAAGTATTCATCCTGCTCTGACCACAACCTCTACCACCTTTCTAGCCATTCCATCCTTGAACCTCTATCAACTTCTTCCCCAGGCCCTTGGCCCCTGAATACCTCCTCAGCCCCCTCTTGTTCTCTCTTCCTGCCCAAACCAGCTGCAGTCCCTGCTTAATAACTTCTTGACCCATCTTCAAAACCCAACTATAGATTAATCCAATTGCCTTCCTCCTGCATGCCTCACTCTGCTTTGTGGTGTAGGGCCAACTTACGCATTTAACTGGGTCCACTTGTGATGCCTGACAATCCTGTTTCCTCAGTCATGACCCTGACCCTTCTTCACTTACCCCAGAAGGCCATGGACTCTTCTTCACACAGCTAAGTCATCAGTAAAGAATTCTTCCAGCTAACTTCCAAGGGCTGCTCTCATGCCTCTGTTCTGATCCCAAGCTCTCCCACCTTCTCAAAAGCCAGGTATGTGTAGCCTGTCTCCACCCCCCTTTCCTGACCCGAATCTCTGTATCTTCAGGTCTCTCCTGGTGGGGGAGGGGAGGATGACCCCCACACACACACCCCACCCCACCCATTCACAGAGTCAGATTCCTGAGCCTCTGGGTTTCCTCCTTGCCTCTCTGGCTACTTCTAGTCATCCTTAAAATGTTGGATTTGCCTCTGACTTTCATTCCAATCTGGTTTCAAATGACCCATAAACCCAGACCCATGAGACAGATCTGCCTGCTGAGCTTCAGATCTATAGAACTATCTCCACCTTGGCACGTCCAAAAACCCAAAAACGGAATCTGGACTGCCCCGCCAGTGTCCCCTCCCTAACCCCACCCCTGCCGCGGCTGTCCTACCAGAAGCCTCCAC